CTGCCCCCCGACGCGCCCGCCACGGACACGGAGAAGGCGGCGGCGGCGGCGGCCGCCGTGGTGTACGGGGCGGTGCCCGTGCCGCTGCTGGGCGCGCACCCTCTGCTGCTGGGCGCGGGCACCGGCGGCGCGGCGGGCACGGCCGCCGGCGGCCCCGGGAAGACCTTCTGCTGCGGCATCTGCGGGCGCGGCTTCGGCCGCCGCGAGACCCTGAAGCGCCACGAGCGCATCCACACCGGCGAGAAGCCGCACCAGTGCCCCGTGTGCGGGAAGCGCTTCCGCGAGTCCTTCCACCTGAGCAAGCACCACGTGGTGCACACGCGCGAGCGCCCCTACAAGTGCGAGCTGTGCGGCAAGGTGTTCGGCTACCCGCAGAGCCTGACCCGCCACCGCCAGGTGCACCGGCTGCAGCTGCCCTGCGCCCTGGCCGGGGCCGCCGGCCTCCCCGGCCCCCAGGGCGCGCCGGGCGCCTGTGGCCCGGGCTCCGCGGGCGCGGGGGCTGCCGAGGCCCTGAGCTACGCCTGCTCCGACTGCGGCGAGCACTTCCCCGACCTCTTCCACGTCATGAGCCACAAGGAAGCCCACATGACGGAGAAGCCCTACGGCTGCGACGCCTGCGGCAAGACGTTCGGCTTCATCGAGAACCTCATGTGGCACAAGCTGGTGCACCAGGCCGCCCCCGAGCGCCTGCTCCCGCCCGCGGCCGGCGGCCAGCAGCCCGCCGACGGCTCGGGCGGCGCCGCCGAGGCGGCCAGCATGCTGGACAACGGGCTGGCCGGGGAGGTGGGGGCGGCGGTGGCGGCGCTGGCTGGGGTATCCGGGGGCGAGGACGCCGGCAGCACGGCGGGGGCCGGGGGCGCGGGCGGCGCCAGCTCCGGCCCCGAGCGCTTCAGCTGCGCCACCTGCGGCCAGAGCTTCAAGCACTTCCTGGGCCTGGTCACCCACAAGTACGTGCACCTCGTGCGCCGGACCCTGGGCTGCGGGCTGTGCGGCCAGAGCTTCGCGGGCGCCTACGACCTGCTCCTGCACCGGCGCAGCCACCGGCAGAAGCGCGGCTTCCGCTGCCCGGTGTGCGGCAAGCGCTTCTGGGAGGCGGCCCTGCTCATGCGCCACCAGCGCTGCCACACGGAGCAGCGGCCCTACCGGTGCGGCGTGTGCGGCCGCGGCTTCCTGCGCTCCTGGTACCTGCGGCAGCACCGCGTGGTGCACACGGGCGAGCGGGCCTTCAAGTGCGGCGTGTGCGCCAAGCGCTTCGCGCAGTCGTCCAGCCTGGCGGAGCACCGGCGGCTGCACGCCGTGGCGCGGCCGCAGCGCTGCGGGGCCTGCGGCAAGACCTTCCGCTACCGCTCCAACCTGCTGGAGCACCAGCGCCTGCACCTGGGCGAGCGCGCCTACCGCTGCGAGCACTGCGGCAAGGGCTTCTTCTACCTGAGCTCCGTGCTGCGCCACCAGCGCGCGCACGAGCCGCCGCGGCCCGAGCTGCGCTGCCCCGCCTGCCTCAAGGCCTTCAAGGACCCTGGCTACTTCCGCAAGCACCTGGCGGCCCACCAGGGCGGCAGGCCCTTCCGCTGCTCCTCCTGCGGCGAGGGCTTCGCCAACACCTACGGCCTCAAGAAGCACCGCCTGGCGCACAAGGCCGAGGGCCTGGCGGGGCCGGGAGCGGGGGCCGGCGCCCTGGCCGGGAAGGAGGCCTGACCCCCTGGGGGGCTTCCCAGTTGCCGCTGCGCTCCGATGGACCTGTCCAGGCGCGTCCCGCCCCGGCCGCCGGTCAGACGGCCGCCTCCTTCGCGCTGTCTCTCCCGCCAACCTTCGGGACTTCAGGCAGCCCGGCCCGCTGTGCAAAGCCTGGGCCGAGTCACTCCCACCCGGCCCCCTCCGACCCCCCTCCCGTCCCGTCTGACCCTGAACTTGATCCCCCGTCTGACCCGTTTTGTAACCCCCAGCAGCCGCCTAGCGGCGCTCTGTCCCCCACGAGCTCCGGTGGAGACCGGCAGGACCTCCCCGCCCCGCCGTGGTTTCCGGCTGGACAGTGGGATGTGAGCGGAGCGGGGCGGGCACCAGGGGGCCGGGTGCCCTTTCGGGTTGTGGGGAGGGGGGCGGGGCGGCAGACACGGCTTGTACAGAGCAGAGACAATAAACGTATCACGGGGCGGCGGAGTCCTTCCTCACCGGGAGCCGGGGCTCCGGGTTCGGGTTCGGTGCTGTGCGAGGGAAGGGTGAGCTCACCTGCTTCCCTGGGCCTCTGACTCTCCCACGTCCTTAACCTCGCCCCGCGCCCTCTGCCTCTCCTCGCCCCCTGAGGTTATGGAGGGATTCCCACATCCAGGACGGGTAAGGCGCCCTCGGGAAGTGCCAGCTCCTTCTCCTCCAGGCGCCGTGGCATCTGTTCTCAGCCAGCAGCGCCTGAAGCCCCTTCCGCCGCCTCGCCAGAACCAGCCCCTTGACCCCGGGAGAGACAGGAGGGACGTCCTGGCCGCCGCGGTGGGCTCTGGCCCGGGACGGAGCCACAGGCTGCTCAGGCGCCTGCCTCTCCAGGACAGTTTGGGGGCGTTCCTTCCAACGCCCTTCACGGCCCTTGTCCGGGTTCTCAGGGGAGTGGGAGGCGTGCAACGTGGTTTCCCCTTTGTCTGGGAGGAGGCTGAGGCCCTCGAGGAGGGGGCTCCAAGGACGGCCGGCGGGGTCCCCCCAGCTGGCCCTGCAGCCCCACGCGCCTCCGTGTGGGACGAAGACAAAGCCGGTTGGGGGCACTGCCTGCCTGGGGGCGAGTCTAGTTTGACCTCCCTGCCCCTCCACACACACACACACACACACTGGAAGGGACCACCATGCTGTGATGCCACACGCACACACACATATACACACACTGGAAGGGACCACCATGCTGTGATGCCACATGCACGCACACACACACACACGCACACACACATATACACGCACTGGAAGGGACCACCATGCTGTGATGCCGGAGATCCAGTGTCCTAGTCTCAGCAGTCACCGGGTGTGGAGCAGCACACTGACACAGACACGGGCTGGGGGGCACGGAGTCACCTGACCAGACTCCAGGGCCAACCCAGCTTCTGGGCGGAGAAAGCGGCTCGTGAGCCACTACAGGAAGCCAGGTGCCACGGGGCAAGGATGCCAGGGGCGGGGTTGGCGTGTCTGGCCAAACCTCGCCATCCCGGAGAGCTTCACACAGTCTAGGTCACGTGGGAGAGTTGGGGTGTGGGAAGGTGATCCCAAGGAGCTGGATGATCCCAGACTCGGAGCTGGCCAGTGCCGCCTGGTCCACGCCCCTGACACATTCTGGTTAGCCTGTGCGTGAGAACAAAACCAAAACCAGCCCCAAGGTGTGGCTCAGCGGCTGAGCATTCATCAGTTCGATTCCCCATCAGGGCACATGCTGGGGTTGTGGGCTCGGTCCAGGAGGCAGCCGATCCATGATTCTCATCATTGATGTTTCTCTCTCTCCCTCTCCCTTCCTTTCTGAAATCAGTAAAAGTAGATTGAAAACAAAGAAAAATGCCCAAGAATGTGAATGTGATTACCAGCATCTGAAAATGAAAACCGTTTACATCGTATGAGCTGCTGGACAATGGAGATGGCGCCGGCCCAGCCTGCCTCCCTCAGAGCGTGGGAGCTGTGCTTACTGGGGCCCCCATTTTCCATCTGTCACTGGCCCCCATGTCCCCAACCCCAACTCTGAGCCCCTGTGCCCATCTCCGTATTCTCCCCTGAGACCCACTGCCCTCATCCCCTCCGCCCCAGAGGCACCCAGGCTTCCGGTCCCTTCTCAGAGCCGCTGCGGGTGGGAGACGGTAGGATCTGCAGGAGGCACCGGCTGTGGGATAGAGAGTGGAGGCAGGGCCCCCAGGCCAGGCCTCACTGGCTTGGTCTTCGAGCAGTGATGGTGCAAAGGTGCATTCAGGTCCCGAAGGAATGCCACTGGCTGGGGACCAGGAGGTCGGAAAGGGATTAGGTAGCGGATGAGGGCGAAGGCTCAGGCGACAGGCCCAGGCTTCCGCCCAGGCATCAGGAGAGGAAGTGCAGGCATTGCTTTGGGGGAACGGAAAGTGGGGTTCACGTTATGACGGGGCACCTCCTCTCTCCTGGGGAGCGCTGGGGGAGCAGGAGTATGAGCAAACCCAGGCTCCCCTTCCTTTCTACTGATCACAGGGCCCCTCCGTTTGCCAGCACCCCTGGGCCTGCTCCCATGGCCGCACCCACACCGCTCTGGTAGCCAGACGCCGTCCACGTCCACCCCGCCCTGAGGAGGTTTGGGGAAAGGGGCGCAGCAGTCCCCAGTTGGTGGCAGTACCATGGCATGGCCCCTGGACCCCCGCCCCCCTCCGTCCCCCGAACAGACAATCCAAACACAGGACCGACCTGGAGCGACCCTTCCAAAAGCCCTTTAATAGGATCGGACTGGAGGCCACCCGCCTCCCTCACTCAAATCCTCTCCTCGCCCGGCTCTGACGGCTCAGCTGCCACGCGCAGGCCATCCGAGGGCCTGGGGGCAGCTGGGGGCCAGGCTGTCAGCTGTTGGCTTCAGGTCCGGAGCGGCGATTAGAGACCCCTGAGGCATTCCGTAGAGCTGGGTGGGGTGGGCTGAGACACACCTTAGGAGCTGGGTTTGAGGGGGCGTTGGCCGCCTGGATCTCAGTTGTCCCAGAAGAGAAGTCTGGTGCGTTAAGGGGGGTCGCCATGGGAACAGGGACAGCAGCTCTTGCAGCCGAGATCCTTACGATCAGTTGGACGGTCAGGCTGAACTTCGGAGGCTCAAATGCTCTAGTCCACATGTGTCAAACACAAGGCCCGCGGGCCAAATCCGTCCCGCCAGGCCTTGCAATGTGGCCCGCACCGCGCTGTCATCACTGCACTCCGCTGCGTTTCCATCACAATGACAGTTTATGACTGTTCAGTAAACCATTCGGCCCGCGATTTAGGCTGGATTTTAGATTTTGGCCCCTTCTCTGATTGAGTTCGACACCCCTACTCTAGTCAATGACTTGGGGGCCCCCTGGCTTGAGGTGACGGGGTTCCAGTCTCTTTATGGAGGACCTTCATGGCGGCTCCCGTGTTCAGTGCATCCAGCGAGGTAGGCAGACGGTCCCCTCCTGGCCCGCCCTCCGCCCCGAGACTGTTCAGGGGCCAGCGATGAAGGGCTGGCCGGGGACACTGGGATGGACCCCGCACCTGCCCGTCCCCTCAGCCCTGGCTCCCCCTGCGGAGGGCGCAGGCTCTGTCCTGTACCAACTCCACCCAACAGGCAGGCAGGCCGGCGGGCCAGACGCTCAGCCGTGTTCCTGGCAGTTAGCTGGACATCGACTGGGCTGCCCCGCGGGTTTGTGGGAGCCCTGAGCGTCGCATTTAGCTGGAATGCCTGTCCGATCTCCCCCAGTCTCCCCTCTTCTGTCTGGCACCTCCTCCTGGTCCCAGCCGACCCCTCCCCCTGCAGCCCGCTGCCCTCCGCCCGCTTCTGGGGCAAGCCTACTGGTCAACATTCGCCTGCTTGATTGCCGTCTCCCCAGGTCCCTCTTCCCGTGTGTTTCCCGCCCCACTCGGCCGGCTCCCGGGTCCCTCGGCCCCCGCCGCCGGCTGCCTCCCGGCGTCCCTGGGCCCCGGCCCCGGGCCGCGGCAGTGCGTGCGCTGATGCTTGCGGAAGTTGGAGGAGTTGTTGAAGGTGCGGGCGCAGAGCGCGCAGCGGAACGGGCGCTCGCCGGTGTGGATGCGCGCGTGGCCGCTCAGCACCGAGGACTGCGTGAAGCCCTTGCCGCACACGCCGCAGTGGTAGGGCCGCTCGCCCGTGTGCACCCGCTCGTGGTCGCGCATGTCCGAGGAGCGGCGGAACGGCTTGGCGCAGAACCGGCAGGCGAACGGCTTCCCCGCGGCCGCCAGCGCTGCTGCCGCCTCGGGGCGCTCCGGGGCTACCCCGGGCCCCGGTGCCCGAGTCCCCGCCGCTGCGGCCTCGGGGGGCCTCCGAGAGGCTCCCGGCTCGGCGCCGTGCCGGAGCTGGTGCCGCAGCAGGGCCGCCAGCGCCCCGAAGGCGCGGGGGCAGAGCGGGCAGCGGAACGGACGCTCCCCGGTGTGCAGGCTGTAGTGTGCGCGGAGGCTGGCGGGGCCGGCGCAGCTGTGGCCGCACACGTGGCACCGGCCGGGGTCCGCGCCCCGCCGCCCGCCGCCCCCGGCCCCCGCCCCGGCGCCGGCCAGGTGGCCGTGCTCGTGGAACAGCAGCTCGGAGACCAGGCGGAAGGCGGCGGGGCACAAGGCACAGTGCAGGGAGCCCGGCTCCGGGGGCTCCGGCGCCAGCGTGCTGTCCGTCACCCTCACCACCTGGATCTCGATGAGGCCGGGCGGGGGCGTGGCGGGGCTGCCGTCCGCGGGCACCAGGACCTGGGGTGGGGGCGGGGGGAGAAGAGAGGAGCCTGTGGACCCGGCCTCAAGGCCTCCAACCCCTGCACCAACACGCCCCAGTTCTTGAAAGCCTCCTCTCCTTTGCACCCCCTCCTATTCTAGGTTCTGCTCTAAGCCCCATCAAGACTTCCCCTCCCCGGCCGAAACCGGTGTGGCTCAGAGGATGGGGCATCGGCTTGCGGACGGACTCAAGAGTTCCACGCAGGTTCGATTCCGGTCAAGGGCGTGTACCTTGGTGTGGGCGCATCCCCAGTGGGGGGTGTGCAGGAGGCAGCTGGTCATGTTTCTGGCTCTCTATCCCTCTCCCTTCCTCTCTGTAAAAATTAGAATATTTAAAAAAAAGAAAAGAAAAAAAACGCAGCCATGTCTGGCCTCGACTGCAAAGGCCATCCTGAATGGGCCCTCTGTGCTTGGCCCGCTCCCGGTGGCCCATCTCGCCAACAGCCGGAATGACCTTTGGCAAATGGAAACCGGATCAAGTCAGTTCCCACTCAAAAAGCTCCGTGGCTCCAACTGCGCTTAAAAATCCCCCAGAACCGCCTAGGAATATCCATCCGCCGCCACCTGCTCCTGCTTATCTCGCGGGCCCGGTGTAAACAGAAGCAGGCAGGCACGCAGCTGACTGCTGTGTCTAAATTTAGCTTCCCCCACCACCACCCTCACTCCGTCTTTATTTCCTTTCTGGAACGCTGCATAGTCCGTCCATCTCCCCTCAACGCCTCTCTCCCCCACTAGCTAGTCTGCAAGCTGCAGGAGAGCAATCCTCCTCTGCCTCCCTCAGCTACCCATCTGTGAACCCCCAAGTAAGCAGCTCAGGAAATGTCCCTGGAATGAATGAATAAGTGAATGAATGTCCTCACTCTCCAGTCCCCAGTGGGGGGCCTGAGAATGTTCTGGAAGCCCCCTGGAGCAGTGATTTCATCCTCAAGCATCCTCCCTTGGGGAATTCGGGGCGCGTCACCCAGGCCTTTACAGAGAATCACACCCCCACGCCATCGTGGGCGCCCTAGGATCGATCACCTTCCCAGCCCTCCACCCCGGCCCACGGCCCCGCAGTCTCATGGAGGCCCCGCCCCTCTTGAGGCCCCGCCCCCTAACCTGACACATTCAATACCTGGATCCATTTCCCCGCCCAGATGTTCTCCAGGCCCCGCCCGCTGAGCCACGCCTTCACTCCGCCATTGGCTCCGCCACAGGCCACGCCCCCGGCTCCACCCGAGAACTCCGCCCCCAGGCCACGGCTCTAAATACCTCCCCACCCACCCAGCCTCAGAGGCCCCGCCCCGGCCCGCGGCCTCCTCCCGCCGGGAGCCCTGGCCCACGTCCCCTCCGCGTTCGCACCAGGTCTGGCAGCTCCGGGGAGCGCGGCGCCCGGGCCGCTGAGCCCGGACTCTGGGGCGGCTCCGGGCGCTCCGCGGCCATCTTGTGCCCAGGCCCCGCCCCCTTGGCCTGCGGTCGCCCTGGAAGGGGGCGGGGCTAGCGCTGGCGTCAGAGCCACCGCGCAGGCGCACTGGGGTGGGCGGGGCTTTCAGGTAGCCTGAGTAACTCCACCTGTCACCCCCCCCCCCCCAAACATACACACAGGAGACAGCCCCGAGGGACGCTGGGGGAATGCCAATTTCTCTCTCTTTTTGTTTTTAAATATGTTTTACTGATTTTTTACAGGGAGGAAAGGAGAGGGATAGAGAGTTAGAAACATCAATGAGAGAGAAACATCGATCAGCTGCCTCCTGCACATCCCCCACTGGGGATGTGTCTGCAACCAAGGTACATGCCCTTGACCGGAATTAAACCCTGGACCCTTCAATCTGCAGGATGATGCTCTATCCACTGAGCCAAACCGGTTAGGTCTGCCAATTTCTCTCTCTCTCTCTCTTTTTTAAAAAGATAAATTTTATTGATTTTAGAGTTCAGAAGGGAGAGGGACAGAGAGACAGAAACATCAATGATGAGAGAGAATCACTGATCGGCTGCCTCCGGAACACCCCCTACTGGGGATCAAGCCCACAACCCAGGCACGTGCCCTTGGCCGAAATCGAACCTGAGACCCCCTCAGTCCGCAGGCCGATGCTCCATTCATCGAACCAAACTAGCTAAGACCCAACTTCTCTTTAAAAAATATTTTTTAAATATATTTTATTGATGTTTTACAGAGAGGAAGAGAGAGGGATAGAGAGTTAGAAACATTGATGAGAGAGAATCATCGATCAGCTGCCTCTTGCACATCCCTCACTGGGGATGTGCCTGCAACCAAGGTACATGCCCTTGACCGGAATCAAGCCTGGGACCTTTCAGTCTGCAGGCCGACGCTCTACCACTGAGCCAAACTATTTTTATTGATTTCAGAGAGGAAGGGAGAGGGAGAGAGAAATAGAAACATCAGTGATGAGAGAATCATGGATCGGCTGCCTCCCGCACCCCCCTCACTGGGGATGGAGCTTCCAGCCCGGGCCTGTGCCCTGACCGGGAATCCAACCGTGACCACCTGGTTCCTAGGTCCAGGCTCAACCACTGAGCCACACCGGCCGGGCTAGGCGTTCTCCTTTTCACCAGCTTACTAGGCTCTGGCTGTCAGCTGACCCTCACCAGAATAGAATAACGTTTGCTGGTGTTACCCACGACATGTTTTTTGTCATCGCCTGCTCCAGTGGTTGGCAAACTGCGGCTCGAGAGCCACAGGCGGCTCTTTGGCCCCTGGAGTGTGGCTCTTCCACAAAATAGCACGGCCCGGGCAAGTCTATTTTGAAGAAGTGGTGTTAGAAGAAGCTTAAGTTTAAAAAATGTGACTCTCCAAAGAAATTTAAATCGTTGTGCTGTTGATATTTGGCTCTGTTGACTGATGAGTTTGCCGACGATTGGCCTGCTCTGAGTGGCTCCAGGTCATGAAGTGAAGTTAAATTTACAAACAAGGATTTTCACGTCCATTTCCAGAGATTCTGCAAGCAGCAGCGCTGGTGGGCGGGGCTGTAGCTCAGAGCCGCAGGCTGGTGTGAAGTCTGGAATGAGACAGGCCTTTCCAGCAGCACCTAGGACAGAGCTGGCCTCTACGTCATCCACTTACTCCCTCTCCCACCCTCTCTGAAATCAGAGCAGGCCAATGGTTGGCAAACTCATCATAAAATCTCCAATCCTAAACCGGTTTGGCAGTGGATAGAGTGTCAGCCTACGGACTTAAGATCCCGGGTTCGATTCCGGTCAAGGGCATGTACCTTGGTTGCGGGCACATCCCCAGTGGGGGGTGTGCGGGAGGCAGCTGATGTTTCTCACTCTCTACCCCTTTCTTTTCCTCTCTGTAAAAATCAATAAAATAAATATATATTAAAACATCTCTAGGTCCATCCATGCAAAAGGTAAGAAATCCTTCTTCTATTCCCTCCTCTTCCTCCTCCTCCGCCTTTTTAACAGCCACACAGTATCCCACCATGTAGATGTCCCACAGCGTTCCATCCACCCGTCAACTGATGGACACTTAGGCTGTGTCCAGGTCTTAGCTGCTGTAAATGCTGCTGCTATGGACACAGGGTGCATCTATGCTTCCCGGCTGGTGCTAGGCAGTTGCTAATCTTAGCTGCTCTGAGTAGCCCACCCTCTTTTCTCAGGAAGGACCTGTGGCCAAAACCGATGTGGCTCAGTGGATAGAGCATTGGCCTGTGGACTGAAAGGTCTCGGGTTCAATTCTGGTCAAGGGCATGTACCTTGGTTGCGGGAACATTCCCAGTAGGGAGTGTGCAGGAGGCAGCTGATCAATGTTTCTCTCTCATTGATGTTTCTACAACAACTCTCTCTCCCTCTCCCTTCCTCTTTGTAAAAAATCAATAAAATATATATATTTTTAAAAAGGAAGGACCCGTGCCAGGGAGGGGTCATTGGGAACCCAAGCACCATTCGCTTCATTTTGTTTGAGACACCAGAGGACCTTCCTCTTTGGAACTGACCTGTACAACAGTCTTTTTTTAAAAATACATTTTTATTTATTATTTAGAGAGGAAGAGTTAGAAACATCAATGAGAGAGGAACTACAATCAGCTGCATCTTGCACACCCCACTTTGGGGATGTGCCCACAACCAAAGTACAAGCCTTTGACCGGAATTGAACCTGGGACCTTTCAGTCCGCAGGCCGACGCTCTATCCACTGAGCCAAACCAGGTTCTGCTCACCTATACAACATTCTTCATCCAGGCCCTTTCAGAATTTCAGCTTTCCAGCTGTGTTCCTCCCAGGTGCTCTTGCAGTGATGTTTCCATACATATTTTGGTCTCTGTCGCCCCCTGGAGGCCTAGGCGACCTCCTGGTTGCAGCACGTACCAAATAACAATACGACCTGCCGCTGCAAAGGGGGAGGAAGGCAGGTGCGACTTGGGTCTGGTTCGGTCCCCCTTTTAGCCCCAGAAGCTGGCATAGAGGAGGCACTGAACGAGCATCCGTTGCACAGAAAGACCGAGATGTTGGTCTGAGGAACTAGAAGGCTTCGGAACTGTCCCCTGAAGCGTGTGTTTCCGGCCGGTGGGCTTTCACGTGAACACCTTCCGTCTTCTTGCGAATCTGAGCCCGAGGGCCCAGAAGGCTCTGTCCCACCGCGTCTGGTGTCCCTGGGAACAGAGTCCGGGCTGCCGCTCCGCATCCCGCAGGGACGGAAAGAATCCTGCCCCGAGCAGGTGGGATTGGGAGGCAGGAAGGAGAAGACCGGCCGGGGGTTTGAAGGAGGAGGTGGAGGGCGATGGAGTGAAGGACTATGTGGCCACATGAGTGCGAAGGGAGTGAGAGATCCCAGCACACCTCGTGGGAGGCTGACGGCTGACAGATGACGATAGCGGTGGCCGTCCTGGGAGCTCGGGGAAGTGGGGAGGTAGAGTCTAGAGTCTGGGCTCAGACAAGGCCCTGGGACCCCCCAGCTGCCCGGGGAGATGAGGGGCTGAGGGAGCAGGGGAAGGAGGATGACGTAGGTAAGCAGATACAGGGGGTGCAGGCAGGTCCTGTGGACGCCTCGGCCCTGGGCCCACCGCTCCCCACCTCCCTTCAGCGGCTCCTCCGCCTTAAGAGTGACCGTGACTTCCTCCTGGAGAACCAGGGTTTCCCTGCCCCGGCCACTACCCCTCCTGCGGGCTCAGCTCCTGCTTGAGTCAAGGCCAACTCCTGCTGGTTGGCCTCAAGAGCACAGGGCACCCGCACACATTCCCGTGGGCCTGAGAGGACAGCCTGGAAGGCGGAGGCGCTGACCCCATGGGTTCATGGCTGCCCCGGGTCCCTGCAGGCCTTCCAGCTGCTTCCTGTCTCAAGGCCCAGGGCCTCGCTCAGGCAAACACCTCACTCCACCGGGATGGTCCCAGACAGCACCCACCCACCCACCCACCGGGCGTCCTGTACCTGCTCCTCCGTCCTGGGGGTTCGGGTTCAGGGGGACCCGACCCAGGGTAGACTGAGCCCACTGCAGATCACAGCACCAAACGGATGCCTTTAGCAAGCGATCCTGATGAGAGAGAATCACAGACCGCTGCCTCCTGCACACCCCCACCTAAAGGACAGAGGGTCAGGTGCAGCCTTGATCTGCTCCTCAGTTCTCTCCAGCACCCCAGCCCTGTGGAGGCCCCGGTGTCACCTCAGCAGGCCCTGACCGGCTGTGTGACTGGGGGCCAGTGGCTACCCCTCGCCGGCCTCGGTTTGTGAGAATGATGAGACTTGACCGTCTTCTTGCCGGTAACTCACTCAGTGTCCGCTCTGGGTTTCCTCAGTTGTCCCGTGGACTGCACAATCCTGGGCCGGTTAGGGACAGAAATAGAATATTGGAGACTAGCTATGAAGTATGAAAAGTAATTATTAAATACACAAATCATGCCCCAACCGGTATGGCTCAGTGGATAGAGTGTTGGCCTGAGGACTGAAGGGTCCCAGGTTCTATTCCGGTCAAGGGCATGTACCTTGGTTGCTGGCACATGCCCTGTGGTGGGGGTGTGCATGAGGCAGCTGATCAATGCTTCTCTCTCATCAGTGCTTCTAACCCTGTCTCTCTCCTTTCCTCTCTGTAAAAAATCAATAATATATATATACACACACACACACACACACACACACACATATGCCTAATATGCTAAGTGTCTGGTCAGCCATTCAACCAATCAAAGTGTAATCTATAATAATAAAAGGGCAATATGCTAATTAGACCAGATGTCATTCCTGATGAAGCTGGCTGGGTTCCAGCTGCCTGCGGACAGCCCGAGGGAAGACAGCCCAGGTCCCGGGTGCCTGCCTGCATCCTGAGGAAGGTACTGGAAGGAAGCAGGTGCCAGCAGCCTGGGGAAGGCCTGCTCTTGCAGGAATTCTCGTGCACAGGGCCTCTAGTATGTTAATGATATGCTAAGGTCACTCAACTGCTCGCTATAACATGCACTGACCACCATGAAGCAGACAGTCAATCTGTCGACCAGTTACTATGATGTGCACTGACCACTAGGAGCAGATGCTCCAACTGGTAGGTTAGCTTGCAGCAGGGGTCCAGCCCATTGGAACTGAGAGAGACAGGCTGGACCCAGCCTGGAGCCCTCCCGCAGCCCCTCCCTGGCTGGCCAACTTCCTGTGTCTCTTGAGTTGGTTCCCGCTGTGTTCAGACGAGAGAGGGAGAGAGAGAGAGACACACACACACAGAGAGAGAGAGAGAGAGAGAGAGAGAGAGAGAGAGAGAGAGAGAGGGAGGGCCTCCGCACTGCGAACTGCCTCTGGGACATTGGCGCTGAGCCCAGGCACTGGGCAAAGCCAGGAGGGAAATGCTTGGATCATAGAGATGCGGGGCTAGAGGAGCGAGGGCAGCAGAGACCTCTGCTGGGCGGCTAGAGAGGCTCTAAGCGGTGCCTAGGCCGGGTAGGAGGTGGGGGTGGGGGCACAAGTGGCTAGGGATGCGGAATGGAGATGCCCCGAGCTGGTGAGATGGGGAAGAGCTTCACTTCCGTCTGTCCTGCCTCCAGGCTCAGGGTCCCAGCGCTGACCATGCTCCTGGTTCTTTTGGAGGCGCTCCCTGCCCTCCCTTGTGGCGCCGGCCCTGAGCTGACCTCCCTGTCTCTCACCCCACACACACACCTAATGGCGATCCCTGTTCCTGTGCATGCAGAGGACTTGCCCTTATGGGGGCCCCTCTACCCCCCAGGGCCTCACTGCCTACTTGCTGTGCGACCTGAGGCAAGGGGACTGCCTCTCTGGGCCTGAGGTGCCCTGTTCCCCAAAAGGGGTGTTCTGTGCTCCCTGGCCAGGGAGAGAGGCCACGTTGGCGGCTGCAGGCCCTGTCTTTGAGCAAATGTAAGGGAGCTACATAGTTAAGGATGGGACAGCAGAGAAGGAAAAATGGAAGTCAAGAATAGCAGGTTGCAGCTTGCTGACTAGTTGCTAAGGCAACCCGACTGGGCAAAAACCCAGCTAGGCGGGAGTTCCTGGAGCAACCCCAGTGAAGAGGGAAGAACCAACACCCTTAGAGAGCTCCCTCCACCCTATAGACAGACAGCTCCCTCCACCCTATAGACAGACAGTTCCCTCCACCCTATAGACAGACAGCTCCCTCCACCCTATAGACAGACAGCTTCCTCCACCCTCCAGGGTCCTCAAACTGTTTAAAGTGGGGGCCAGATCACGGTCCCTCAGAGAGCTGGAGGGCCGGACTATATGAACTACTAATTCCTACTGTAACACCTCGGCTGCGCTCACTGCCCAAAAAACCTGGCGGGCCGGATCAGACTCCTCTGCGGGCCGCATGTGGCCCGCGGGCCGTAGTTTGAAGACCCCTGCGACAGACAGCTCCCTCCACCCTATAGACAGACACCTCCCTCCACCCTATAGAAAGACAGCTCCCTCCACCCTATAGACAGACACCTCCCTCCACCCTATAGACAGACACCTCCCTCCACCCTATAGACAGACATCTCCCTCCACCCTATAGACAGACACCTCCCTTCACCCTATAGACAGACACTCCCTCCACCCTATAGACAGACAGCTCCCTCCACCCTATAGACAGACAGCTCCCTCCACCCTATAGACAGACAGCTCCCTCCACCCTATAGACAGACAGCTCCCTCCACCCTATAGACAGCTCCCTTCACCCTATAGACAGACAGCTCTCTCCACCCTATAGACAGACAGCTCTCTCCACCCTATAGACAGACAGCTCCCTCCACCCTATAGACAGACACCTCCCTCCACCCTATAGACAGCTCTCTCCACCCTATAGACAGACACCTCCCTTCACCCTATAGACAGACACCTCCCTCCACCCTATAGACAGACACCTCCCTCCACCCTGTGACAGACAGCTCCCTCCACCCTATGGACTGGGAGCTTCCCAGGAAGCACCAATCAGAAGCCGGGGGGGGGGGAGCATGTATCTACCTCTAGACACATAGCTACTGTGCCGGCCCCTTGGGGTCCCTCCCTGCTGTCCCAGACACGCCCTGTGTCTGAGGCCTGATGCCAGCGCCTGGCTCTCTCAGAAAAACCTTGCTTTTGCTTCCCCCTTAGGTCGTGAACTCATTCTTTGACCTCTAAACTTCCTGTTGTATCAACAAGTTTCTGCACCTCCTTCCACCTCCCACTCCCATTGGCTGAGCTGCTGGTACAGCAGCCAATCAGCGTCCCCGCGGCTCCGGGTTATAAGTCCTCCGCGGAAGCGCCGGGACTCAGCCGCTCCCCAAACTGCCAGGATGCGGGTGCAGAGGCCCCCCACCCTCCTCCTGCTGCTCTCGGGGGCGCTGGTCCTGACCCCCAGCGGGGCCGGTGAGTGCGGGGTCCGAGGGGGCGGCTGTGCGGGGAGGAGCGCGGGGACCCGGCGGGACCCTTCTCCCTGGTCACCCCCGCCCTGCCCTCCGTCCGCCCCCCAGGCCCCCACTCCATGAGGTTTTTCCGCACCGCTGTGTCCCGGCCCGGCCGCGGGGAGCCCCGCTTCCTCGTCGTCGGCTACGTGGACGACACGCAGTTCGTGCGGTTCGACAGCGACGCGCCGAGTGGGAGGATGGAGCCGCGGGCGCCGTGGATGCAGCAGCCGTGGGTGGAGCAGGAGGACCCGGGGTATTGGGACCGGGAGACGCAGATCCAAAAGGAGAACGCACACAATTACCACGTGGGCCTGCAGAACCTGCGCGGCTACTACAACCAGAGCGAGGACGGTGAGCTGCGCGCCGGGCCCATCACGACCTCCCTCCCCACGGAAGGGCCGGGGTGGCCCCGAGGGTCTGGGTCCGAGTGTCACCCCGAAACGGCGGGACTCTCCAGGCCCCCCACCCCCGGAAGGAGACCGCGGGGACTGTGACCCGATTTCACTCTCAGTTTTAGATTCAGTCCCCGCGGGGTGGGCGGGGCTGGCCGACCTCATAGCCGGGCTGACCTTGGGGCGGGGTCAGGGTCTCACACCTTCCAGTGGATGTCTGGCTGCTACATGGGACCCGAAGGGCGCCTCCTCCATGGGTACAGTCAATACGCCTACGATGGCACTGACTACATCGCCCTGAACGAGGACCTGACCTCCTGGACCGCGGCCGACATGGCGGCTCAGATCACAAAGCGGAAGTGGGAGGCGGAGCGTTGGGCTGAGCATGACAGGAGCTACCTGGAGGGCCGGTGTGTGGACTCACTGCGCATGTACCTGGACAAGGGGAAGGAGACCCTGCAGCGCGCAGGTAACAGGGGCCCTGGGGCCGCCCCCTCTCCCCGGGGCTGGGGCTCCTCCAAGGAGACAGGACAGGGGGTCAGTGTCAGACACCCCTCTTTGGGGTCAGGGAGGGGGTCCCCCAGGATGTTCAGGTCAGGTTCCAGAGGGACTGCCCCCTACACTCAGGGACAGGTAGGGGTGCAGGCTCTCCTGGGCTGCAGGGAGACCCCCTGCAATAAGCCGTCAGCGGTTCCCAGGGGCCCTGCAGTGGATCTGGGACCCACCGGGACCTTCTCTCTCAGGCCTTGTGCGCTGCCCCACACCCCCTGTGTCTGAGGCCTCACCCCAGCTTTTCTGAGTCACGTGGACTCCACCCAGGCCAGACCTTTTCTCCCCTCAAAGCCCTGCCTCCTGCCCTGGGCTGGGTCTCTGATTATAGAACTTTCTAAAGACTCGGAGGTTCTTCCAGGTGCCTCTGTCAAGACTGGTGTGTGTGCTGTGTGCTCCCTCCCCCACCCAGGTGTCTGTCCACTCTCAGGATGGTCACATGGGCGCTGCTGGAGTGTCCCATGGAGGATGCAAAGTTCCTGCATTTTCTCCCCTCCCCTCAGACCCTCCAAAGGCACACGTGAGCCACCACCCCGTCTCTGCCCGGGAGGTCACCCTGAGGTGCTGGGCGCTGGGCTTCTACCCTGCGGACATCAGCCTGACCTGGCAGCGTGATGGGGAGGACCATACCCAGGACATGGAGATGGTGGAGACCAGGCCTGCGGGGGACGGCACCTTCCAGAAGTGGGCGGCCGTGGGGGTGCCCCCTGGAGAGGAGCACAGATACACGTGCCATGTGCAGCACGAGGGGCTGACCGAGCCCCTGACTGTGAGATGGGGTGAGGAGGGCCGTGGGCACAGAGCCTCTTCTCAGGGCAGCAGGGCCCTGGGGGACCTCAGTGGGGTGGGGGCTGAGGCCTGGGGTCAGGGCCCTCATCCTCCCTTCCCTTCTCCTCCCAGAGCCGCCTCCTCAGACCTTCATCTTCATCATCCTGGGCATCGCTGGGGGCCTGGTCCTGCTGGGAGCTGTGGCTGGAGCTGTGATGTGGGGGAGGAGGCGCTCAGGTGGGCAGGAGTGGGTCTGAGTGTCTGTCCCACTGGGGGTTCAAGCCCAGGTAGACGTGTGTCCGCCTCATTCATGGGAACCACCATCCCCACATGTGCGATGGCCAGTGTGGGGCTCTGTGCTCACACTGACTCTGTAGTGAGGCCCGTGGGAGATGAGGGACCCACTTCTCACCTGATGATGCTGGTGCTGGGGACCCGGTTCCCAGCAGCCCCAGGTCAGAGGGCAGGTCCCTGCTGAGCACAGACCTCCAGGAGGGCGATGGGTCCAGTCCCCACACATGCCCGTCCCTGATCCTGCCCGGGGTCTGTACACACGGTTTAGGATACTTCTGTGGGCCCAGGACTATGGCTTCCTCTAGGACCTCATGGCCCTGCCTCCTTCCTGGTCTCTCACGGGGTGTTTTCTTCCCGCAGGTGGAAAAGGAGGGAGCTACGCTCCGGCTGCCAGTGAGTATGGAGGGGTGACCCCTGAGTCCCTGTGACAGTGCAGAGGGAGCCATAGGGGACCCCACCCCATAGTTCCTCTTAGTCTCCTACCCTGGGGCTCTGAGCCCGTCCTGGTTTGTCCCCTCCAGACAGTGACAGCGCCCAGGGCTCTGATGTGCCTCTCTCGGCTTCTAAAGGTGAGACCTGCCGTGGGGAGGGGTGGAAAGTGGAAAGAGGGGGGACTGGGCTGTGGGGAGTCTGGGGGACACTGTGAGCATGAAGTGGGTTTGAGAATGTCACCAGTCACAGCCACTGTCCTGAACCTGCTCATGACGATTGTCCTCCACAGCGTGAGGCCGCTGCCCTGTGGGGACTGAGTGATGGAAGGTGTGTTCCCGCTCCCACTTCCTGACTCAGGACCCTCTGATGGGGGCTGGCCCCGCCCTGCCCCCCACACTTTCCTATCAGCAGAGGTGGCTGGGCTCTCCAAATCCCCATCCCTGCCTTTCCTCCCTGGGGCTCTGAGCTGCTACTTCCTGCTCCGGATTGAAATGAGATGCTGATGTGACTGTTCATTTCTTGCCAAAAAGGCGTGGAGGTTATTAAAGGGGAAGCTCCTAAATTCTGAGGGGAAATAAATTGAAGCTCCAAGAACTTTCCAGGTCCCGTGTGTTTGCTGTGCTGAGCCTGTCGCAGGCGGGACTGGAGGGGCGGCGAGGATGGAGCGTGGTCGGGGCCTGGTCCTGGTCAGTGCGCAGTGCATCGTGGGCTTTAACCTGGTCACTCATTCCAGGATCACTGCCTCCCATGGTGGCGCCGCGCAGGGCCTCCCCCACTTCAGGCAGCAGACGGGAGAGGGGGGGGCCCTGCATCACATCGTATAAACTCCTGAGCACAAGGGAAGCCCCCATCCCCCAAGGCAGCCTCCTTTTATGGTGGACCCGCCTCAGAGTCAGGGTGACCCCATCCCAGATGCCACCTGCGGAGGAGCCCAGAAGTGAGCGCCCCCCAGTGCCATCCCACGTAGGGTTACCCAAGCGTCTCCTTCACACAGACACGCCCCTTGGGCCCCACGTGTTCCCATCACGTCATCGCCGGAGCCTCGGGGCCAGGGCAGAGAGACCGAGAAGGCTGTTAGGACCACGCAGGGACTGGGGGGCCTTCAGAGCTGGTCCCACAGCTCCCCCAATCCTTTCCCCTCCTACCCACAGCCGCGGCCAGCCAACTCTTTATTATTATTATTATTATTATTATTCGTATTGATTTCAGGAGGAAGGGAGAGGGAGACATAGAAACACCCATGATGGGACAGAGCCATGGCTAGGCTGCCTCCTGAAAACACCCCCACCCCCACCCCCTTCTCTGAGGACAGAGTCCACAACCCAGCAGGTGCCTCACGGGGAATGGAACCCTGACCTCCTGGTTGAAGGTCAATGCTCAGCAGCTGAGCCACACCCGGCCTGGCCCACGGTTCCATAACAGAATGAGTGACACAGACACTGGGAGGGCTGAGGCTGGGGGAACTGGCACGCACCTTCTCAAACCTGAACGTGAGCTTCTCCCTCAGGAAATGTCACCCGGCAGGGACCACGGACAGGCCTGCTGTCCTGATGCAATGCCAGCCCCGAGAGAAAACCAGAATGTTGGGACAGGTGTGTCCCACCAGGTCAGCTAGACCCTCCCCAGCGCTGACACACTTCCTAGGGGCTCTGTGAAGAGACACAGAGGTGAGCATGGAGGGCGGGTGACTAATGCATCCGCACGGGAAGGGCTCTAGGACTTAGAGACACAGGGCATCACCTTCACTAACCTGCATGAGGACAGAGCCCCCAGCCAGACAGCCCTGGGGACGGTGACAGAACAACACAGGAAACATTCACTATTCCCCAGCCAGTGGGGGTCCACACTTGAACATGGAACTATGAACCAGGAGGTCACAGGTCACCTTTTTGTCTGAGCATCCCCAGTGCGGGGTTTGTAAGAGGCAGCTGATCAATGACTCCTTCTCATCATTGATGTATCTATCTCTCTCTCCCTCTCTAAGATTATATATATTTAAAAATTAAAACAACAACAATACAGTCAATATGGTTTCAGGTCTCACTTTGCAAAACCCTTTTCAGAAATGACCACAGGTGTGGCTGTGGTGACGGTCACAGGGGATCATGCGCACTTACCTGAAAAGGTCAGTAAAAAACTGCCTATGCCCATTCCTGTGAGGCTGTCTATGTCTTAATAAGCTGCCGTCACAACAACAGATCAAAATCAAAAGCAAATGTGCAAACCCAGTGTCTCCCAGGGGGATGGGCAGGATGTGACAGGGGAGCAGGCCCCTCTCTCCTCCTTCACTTGGGAAATTGGTGATTTTCATAAAAACATGACTCTGTCCCCATCTCCCAGGCACTGAGCATGCGGCCTGAGTTTGTATTTGTTTCCCTGTGTGGTTCCGTGAGTGGTGACTGTGACAGAGGGAACCACAGGGACAAGGTTATGGGGGCCTCCCCACTGTGTGAGGCTGCACAGAGATGGTGAACCCCAGACCTTGGAAATTCCCTGAACAGCACAGCGCCCGGGCCAGGCCTCGGGGGACAGGGGGACGGGCGCTCCGCGCAGGAGGAGGGTCAGGACCGAGTCCAGGGCCCAGGCCTGCGCTCAGGTCTCAGCGGGGCACAGAGTCTGTGGGGGCAGCTCTATGATTGGGACTCTGCAGAGCCCTGGTTTCACTTTTCCTGTACCAACATGTGCGAGCGCCTCCTTTCTG